TTATTATGCAGAAAAGATAATACACTATTCCTTAAATTAATACCATTAATTCGTTTCCCAAAAGTTTCCATACACAGCACTAATTCCTTCCATGGATTTGATCAATTAATTGAATTCCATCAGTGGTGGATAGATAGTTTTGGAAGTGCATCCTGAATCCAGTGGAAATGCATAACTCCTATAAGGTTACAAAAACAGAAGAAAAGAAAATCTACTGAATCATTAAAGTTATAAATATGTAATATTCTCAGATTCAATTTATCCTTATGAAATTTAAAAAGAAGAAGAGTTAGAGATTGAAGTTATTACATTTAATACTAAGGTACAGTAAAATTGGTGGAAAAATTAAATAAAAGTTGTTTTTTCCTTGGGGTCATACAGGTACCATTGACCCCAACTTTTATTTAATTTTAAACTTCAGTTCATTTAATGGTGTTTTGTTTGTTTATATATTTACAATAGAGTGAAAATAAACTATGGTTATTAACAGTTAAAAGAATAATGTAAATGTTAATTTCTTATCTAGATAGACAAAAAAATTTTTGATTTGCATTTATGACCTTTTACAAACTGATTTTTTTTTATTTTAATCAACTTTCTACTCAAAAATAATTTTGTTTTCTGGAGGAATGACATTGTCAATGGTTTGTAACATAACCTGATGTTTTTGAACTGACTAGGTTTTCACTGAAAACCAATATTACTTTCAGGAACACTATTAATTACAGAAACAATTGTTGGTGGTTGGTTCTACCTTCTTTCCGACAAATTCAGCTCTTTCCAGGAATTTAAGAGTAATTTAAAGAAGTTAGTGTGCTGTTCAACATATCATAGATGATAAATAGTCAGGGCACAGTCATTTTAAGGTTTTTAGTAGTGCCTACTTTCAACGCAAGCAAGTGGGTCATCAACAAGTCATTTGGAGCACTGAAGTTATTCAAGTACTTGACCTCTCCCTATTATATAAAATAGTTTTTAGTGACTGTGTAATATTTTATTTTACACAAAAAAATAAAGTAAGGACAGATCATAATGAAGACACCACAATTCTTATTCCAAGAATTATTTCACCCTTGCTATTATTAGGAATTGGTAATAAGAATAATTATAATTATGTAATAATATAAATTAGCAATAAGGCACAATGTATAATATAGATTTTTTTAAGAAATCAAAAATGTATCCAAACTGTTGTTTCGTTGCGTTTATTTTATGTCGGTAAAAAATAATACATGCCAATACACTTTGAGAAACCTGTAGTACATTTAAATGAACAGTTGTATAATTTGTAAAATGGAGGCTGGTTCACCATTAAGCGGATAGGGGGTACCCCTCTAGTAAATATATATATATATATATATAATTAATATTTATATTTAATTTTATCGATTGGATACATTTTTTATTTCCTAATTCTCAAAATTATTTTGTTTTACGAATAGTTCAGTAGTATTAAAATAGATATTTTACAAATTAGTACACCTTTTAGCATTTTCAAAGATAATGTCATGGTAGATTTATGATACCATTTAGACAGTTTTTTTTTCCCTAATTCTTTGTTAAATAAAAATAGTGAGCTAATGTAAAATTGACATCATGGCTTGAAAATATATTTAATGACTATGGTAATTTATAGTCCTACAAACCAAGTTGCAAAACAATCAAGTTTGAAATTTCCACACTTGAAATTAATTAATTTGTAAAAAATGCCATATCTTTAACTATTAATATTACTTATTTTTTAAATTCTTTGTTTGGAGCTGAGATTGTTTCTGTAACTTAAAAGACAATGTTATGTAATTTGAAGCTCTTGAGAAGCCATTCATTATAGGTTGTTCCAGGCCTAATCCATTTTATTCTTGTAGAATAAATAAAATTTTTAGGCTCTGTGTTTCTGTCCCAAGATTTCGAATAGAACCAAATTTGATATGCATTCGTGCCAGAAATGTATGTAATATTATTATTCATTAGTTGTAGATGCTTTATTCCACAATATTTAAAATGAATTTCCTATTGTCATATTTTATTAAAACATTGAAATAGCAAAGGAAAGTTGTTTTCAATGATCTTAATTTATTTAATCAAAATGCAATTTTTACTTCTTTTTCAATGACAAAGTACCAAGTAGTATGAAGTGTTCAGCATTAAGATATATCTTGTATATTTGATATTAGGAAATAGTTGTGAAATTGTTGAAAATTTAATGGAGTTTATAAATTTGTGCATTATAGAGAAAAATATGCTATAGATAAGTATCCATTAAGAGACAAGTTTCTCTATATTCTCTTTAATTATCAAACCTAATAATTCCATTTATATAATTAATTTATTTTGTAATTTCGAGATTTATCAATTAAATTATTAATGCATAAACTGCATTGAATTATAAAAGACTCACACAAGATTCTTAATCTCTTAACATTATTGATGGGCAATGATAACTGTTTGTTAGTTTTCAAATCAGTAAAAATCACAATTAAATGTAATTAATTTGATAACTTATGCACATTACGTGGTACAAGAATAATATTTGTATGTACCTAATATTATAAAACTAAAATTAACAACTAATAATTCACTATTATGAAATTAAATATTAAGAAATAAAAAAATTTACATTTAAAAACAAAATAAAATTATGTATTACAAATAATAGATTAGAATATCTCTTTATTTCCAACCAATTCCAATTCCAAATTAGTATTATTTGCAAACATTTTAAGATCGTACTGTGAACTTAAATGATTTGTGATATATAATTGAAAATTAGTATGGATATTTTGAGTAATTTATTTGGGTATGGGAGAGCAGTATATTTATAATTCATAATTAAAATTATTATATACATATCATAAAAAAAAAAAAAAAAAAACATGAAAACAAAATTATTCTAATATTACCAAAAACAAAAGGGTGAATTAGTAATAATAGACAGAATATTTAAAAAATGTATGACATTTGATCCATATTGCCTTTATTGGGATTCAAAAAGAAAGATCCAAAAATACAGATAAATTTCATGAAAGTTGCAGTAACATATAAAGATTTTTTTTTAAATTATTGTTTATGAAATTTACAACTGTACAAATTACATTCAGGAAATGTGATACAGGGAAATAAATGACATGACAAGGCTTGTAGAGAATCTACCCATTGGTAGCACTCTAATAACATATAAAGAACAAATAGAGAAAACTATTTTTATTATCATATTTTTTCAGGCAATAGTTGATTTCTTAACTTTCCTGTTTTAGTGGTATGCAGTACCGTATTTATTGTTCTATTCTCAAACTGTAATGGATGTAGTACTGATAACAAAGGTAAAAAGCCGGTTATTGCAGCTTTATTAGACCTCCATGGAGGTGAAAACTGTGAAGTAGTGAAATTTAATGGACTTCAACAATTGGCTATCCTTCAGAGTACTTTAGAAAAAGTGAATTCAATTCTCCTTCATGAAAGGATAGAAATAAGTAAGTCAAAATTGAAATTCTATCAAAATAAAAAAATATATATTTAAAAATATATGCCCACATAAAAATTATGCATTTATTGAAAATGCAGTGGTGGACAAATTTAATATAATTTTTAATTACTCTATTTCTATAGATTTTAAAAAGTGTTTTGGAATATTATAATAATTAGAGAGTAAGTATAATTCAATTGGAATATGGTGACCCTAATTTATCTTTTTTATCTCGGTTAGTTAGTAAATTAAAAGGATTAATCCTTTTATTGGTTATAATTTGAACTGTAGTTTCAAAAGCTTTGTTCACAACCAGTTTCAATTTTTACTTCTACAGACATAGAAATTAGACTGCCTCACTTTTCTTTCTGTAGGAAAAGCCTTGGATTTCCATTGATTCTCACAACTCCTTTCAGAGTTGCCCATCCCCCACAATATCAATGGCGTAAGAACCTACTCCATCCCCTCCCAAGATATTTTATTGCTCATTTTCTTAAAAACTAAGCAAGGGAAAGTTGAATTAGAAAAATCATAGATTATATATAACTACACTTGATGCGTGCGATCTGTTCCATGTTTTCTCTTTTTCCCTTTTCTGAAACTTTTTAAATTCTGAAAATTCACAACCCCTTTGAAATGTGCCCTCTCAAAAATTCAAAAACTCTTTAAAATATACCTCCCTCAAAAATTTTTATGGCAGAATTTGGGCAATAAAAAACCCCTTTCTGGCCACTCCTGACTGCTTTTGCTTCCAGTGATTTAATAGCTGCAATGAGACCACTGTGGAATTTTTTCGCAATCAAAGCATCCCATATTTCTTTTTAGGGGCAGAGATAAACATTACTATAAGGTCCAAAAATCTATTATTGTCTGTATCCCATACTTTCTCTCCGAAGTATTTGTATTTGTTGAAAGATCGGGAGAGGCCATGTTGGCCAAATGTGTAAAGCTTTGCCTGCTTTAACATTCTCGAGTCTAGCAGAGGCGGTTTGAAATTTATTATTTATTTAATATTTACAAATCACATTATTGTATTAAAGTCTTCCCTCAGTATCACAAATCCTTAGTCCTTGATTTTATCGAGTTATAATTTTCAGATATTCTAAATCTTACTCCTTTTTCTAGATGGGCAATAAAATCTATATATATATATATATATTTTTTTTTTTTTTTTTTTAGACAACATGCATCTAATGTCAAACCAGATACACAGTTTTGAAATATAAATCTGTTTAGATTTTACATCTTTGTAAGTCTCTCTAGTATTGTCTTTCAAGAGGTTTTAAAGATTCTGCCATATGGTGAAACTATTATGATAGACCCTCATGTATAATCTTTTGATTTCTATTTGATAACAATTTTTATAAAGCAGTGTTTCCCATCACAAATAATAAATGTGCTGAATAATGTAAAATATGATACATGAGCTCTCATAAATTGGTAGTTGGTATATTTATTAATTAATTTTAATTTTATTGAAAGCAATGGAATTTCAGAACTTCTGGTATTTGATACTTGCTCAACAACAAAAGGAACAATGGTTGCAACCTTAAACGCTTTAGTTGCTGCAGAACAAACATGCATAAACACTCCATTTTTCTTAGGTAATTTACCAAAGTATTTGAATCACATTTAGAGGCTTTAAAAATGTGTATATTGTATGAGTTTTTTCAAATGATAATTTAAACTAAATCATTATTGTAATTTTAAGGATTCATTGGAAATGATTACAAAGATGGTCTTGAAGTATCCCGAAGCATTAGTAAAGTATTTAATATAGCTCATGTTCTTCCGCATTCTTTTGACTTAAATTTGACTGCTGATGATAACATCCTCTTTGTTTCCTCATATCCTGTTAAACAGCATACTGAGGTTTTTTTTTTTGATCTATTGTTAATATTTTAATACAAAATTATACAAATAAATATAATTAGCATTAAAACCAATAAACATTTCGGTTCTATTATGTGTTTTCAAATTTTTACTTGATTTTATTTTTGGAAATGATGTTACAATAATATATGTTAAATTTAAAATACATCATGAAAATAAAGTATAATATAATCTATTTACAGTGCCCGCCTTAGACATGTGGCACCCTTGGGTAATACCGTCATTTCCCCTCTTCCCTAAAAAATTAAATTTATTTCTTAAGCTGTTTTATATTAAGTAATATTTGTATTTTATTTTATTTAACATTTCTCTAACACAGTCGCTTTATTGATAGACAAAATTATTTTAATTCGTTTTGTATTTTTTTTTTTTAATTTCTTACAAGTGGCAAGCTCTCCTAAACGGCAATTGCCCTACCCTAAGGCTCGCACAGTCTATATATTATATAATCTGAAATACTCTTTTCCTTATAATTAAGGATTTTGATGTCTCAGTAGTTGACTATCAATAAAAATATTTCAGGCAATGAAAATAATTTTTGAAAAACTTGGAATACAAAACTTCATTATTCTGCATGACAATGAATCACTATCAATAATGAAGTTGAATCATTTAGTTGATGATGTAAAAGAAGATTTATGTTTCATGAAATCTGTTGTGTTTGTAAGCGTTGATGACCTTAAACACCAGTTTACACAAGGTATGTCAATTATTGGTATTTAGATGATTATATTGTATTTGGAAATATTCATTTTAGTTTTATTCTAGATAAAAGACATAAATACCAATCTTTTATGCCCCTTCATACAGCTTTCCTTCCTGCTTTAGGTGCAAAGACTAATACAAAAATTGCTTTTCTTAAATTGTTTGTCATTGCTAAATATCTTTCAAATCAACATTTAGAATGTTCTAAGAGATGTTTGAAAAATTAAACATGGGTACAAATTCTAATATAGTATATTCTTAATGATTTTTTTATTTTGTTGAGGATTTTAATAGGTAATTTTTAAAATTAGTAGGCAATTACCTATTAGTGACTATACAGGATTTTCTGAAAACCTATTTGGGATTTTAGATATATTCTATTTTTTGGGGGAGGAGGGGAATTTAAGGTGCATTATGACAGATAGGTATTATCAGTATCAGTATTCAGGTTATAGGCAATGGTGGATAGAGACCAGGTGACCAACTAACTCACAAGTACCCATGATCTGTTGAAAATCTGTATATAAAAATTTACAATACCTTTCTTACTTACACATTTTTGGTGATGGCTAGGAAAGAGAAATATATCTATCTTTATTATCAATTTTTGACAATTGACTCTTAAATGTGGTTCATTTTAAAGCGGTTTCAATGAAAGAATTTCATCATTTCTTTTATAATTAAGGAAATATATATTTCTGAAGTTTAATTTGGTGATGTGATGCCTGAGCATCTTGGACCGAAGATTCCAAGAGTGCCAGGTTCTGAATGTTCCGGGTTTGATTCTTGTGTGGGTCAGTCAACACTTATTTCTTGATAGCGCTAAGAAATTTATCTTTAAATTCCCTCTCTGGTTAGTATGTTGTGGCAACATTAAGTAGCCGTCAGGTGTAGGCTAAAAGAACTTCAAATCTCAAAAGCTGGACTAGTTCCTCTCACCAGCACCAATATCCCTAGAACTGTTATTTAAAAATCAGGGTTTGTTTTATAATTTTAAAAAATCTGTTGTTTCCGACTTTTCTACCTATTTCAGAAAACTTTTACATCTTTATGTATATTAATGTATAATATGTCCATTACAAAAGAATGAATTAGATTTATTTTCCTGAAAATTCATCAAATAAAAGATTTGAGGAAGATTTCTATCATAAACTAAAGCAATGTAAACAGACTTGTAAAAGAACAGTGTAAAAAAAACAATGAACTCTAATATTGATAATAAAAAACTTTTTTGACATAGCCCAAATTTTGTGAGACTATAATTTCTTAATCTTACATACAAAATTAAATAGATGTAACTTCGATAATAATTTTCCGAAATGAACAAGTTTTATATAGTTTTGTTGGGAATTTCATCACCTTTCAAAAGTTTTTTTGATGACCGGAAGTGGCACTTTATATTATGGACTAAACACATTTTTAAGATTTTCTTGAAAAGGGCTCTAACGATTTTGATTAAATTCATTGTATCACTGTAAAATTAAGCAGTTTTAAATAAAATGTAGGTCTTATTCTGATTGATGTTCTCTAGCAGGACTTAAATGGCTGATTTTCAATATTAGCTTCCCCTAAAGTATCTTTAATTTTTTTTATTTGAAACAATTGACTATTTCATATTAATCTATAATAAAAAAGATATTTAAATATGAAATATGAAAGAATTTGATAATTAACTAAAGGAGATATAGAGATCTAACGGAGAATAGTTGTAATTCAGAACCAAAGGAATACAAGCGCACCCAAGATCACCCGAATGATTAGAACACTCTTCTATACGTAAAATGAGCTTAGACAATATTATGTAAATATACATATGCGGTTTTCATAAATGCTATTGTTGGTATTATTTAATATTTATTTGTTTAGATTATAGCTATATAAATATTAAAATTTGTATATATAAGGGGTACTTATACAAATAATAATACCCACAATGAAATATAAACCAATGCAGCATTTATAATTTTTTACTTTCACTTCCCCTTTGTCTTAAAATACTTATTTCTGTTAAGAAGAGGGTGTTAAGTGAAAGCTGTGTGATTCGCGCACCACATCAGATTTTATTTTATTACAATTACATTATTTCATTTTTTTATGTTATAGGCTCAAACGAAGATGGTCTTGTGATAATCATTGAAAATGCTAATATTCTTGATGAGCTATCAGGATACTTAATGACATATAATAAGCAGATCATAATATCTTCTGGTAAAATTGGTACAGAAAACTTTCTTTTTCCTCTTTTAAAGACAACTTACATCCTGCAATTTGTTAGGTAATCATTTGTCACAATCTTAGAAAAAAAATGTTAATATCAAGTATTTTTTATCTTATGATGTATAAAAGAAAGCTTTTAAGTAAGATTAAGAGTGAATGTTATAGTTTATTACCTCTTGGGAATTTATCTCTGCGATATGATGAAAAATTGGTTAAAATCTATGATGAGCAGAACTGGTTGAAATGTTTAAAAAACACAAATAAATCAGAAATAAAATGCAATTCATCTATTACTAAAGTAAGTATATTTCATTAGATATATGTTATAGATAGTGCCGGCGTTATTGCTGTGTTCTAGGCTAAAATTAATATGGTTTGCATTTTTTAAAAATTTTAACAAGTGGCGATCTCCTCTGAAGATCGACATTATGACCCTAACGGGTATACCTCTAGGTCGGCACCCGGTGCAATTGCCACACTCCAAGGCAGGCATTGATTATAGGCACCAGTTAATAAAGCTTTTATTAGATTATTGCTTTATATATAAATCATTATCCTTCTCCAATAGTTCCATCTCTTGGTTCCAGTCTTTCCTCTCACAACGAACCCAAGCAGTTTCCATACCTAATCAACCTCTATCTGCCTACCTTCCTTTATCCTCAGGAGTTGCACAGGGTTCAAGCATGTCTCCTCTTCTTTTCAGTTCTTATATTAATGACCTAAATGATTCAATTATCCATTGTTCCCACCACCTTTATGCCGACGATTCTCAAATCTATTTATCCTTTTCTCCCGCTGAGTTATTGGTGGCATTTGCCAAAATTCAAGAAGATTTAGATCGAATTAGTGCCTGGGCCAACTTAAATGGATTAAGGCTAAATGCTGCCAAAACTCAGGCCATTCTCATTGGTTCCAAGCCCCTTCTTAGATCCCACACCAACTTTCCCTCACTCTATCTACACAACCACCCCATCACCTTCTATCCCTTTGTTAAAAATTTAGGCTTTCTCATAGATCAAACCCTTTCCTGGAATCACCATATCTCTCATATATCCCGCCGTGCAATTTCTACCCTCAAACTATTCCATCACTTCCGCCATCTTCTACCCCAAAATACCCGTAGACTCATAGTTTCCTCTCTCATCTTTCCCCACTTTGACTACAGCTGTGTGGTGTACGATGGCCTCTCGGTGGAACTGCGTGATAGACTCAAAAGACTTATGAATTGCTTTGTAAGATTTGTAATTGGAACCCCGAGACGCTCCCGTGTCTCCCACCACTACACTGAGTTAGGGTGGCTCTTCCCCTCCTTAAGAAGACAATATTTCCTTGGCACTTTCCTTTATCAAATCATTACCGATCATCGTCCTTCTTATGCCTACAACCTCCTCCAATTTAAGTCCTCAATCCATTCACTCACTACAAGATCCCGAACCTCTGACCTATACATCCCTTCTCATAGATCTGCCTCATTCCAAAATTCCTTTATAGCCCGCTCTGTCAACTTTTGGAATTCCCTCCCGATCAAAATTCGACATGCCCCTTCCCTGTATACATTCAAAAACCTCCTATTCCAATTCCTGTTCCAAAAACAGTCTGATACCAGCTAACTATTGATATTATATATGTATTGTGTAGCAATCATATAATCATAACACTTGGTAAGAGATAGTACATGCATTTCCTTCTATTATATATATATATATTACTTTTTTATTTTCTCTGAGAATAGACCAACTTCGAAATAAGGTTTAGGTAGAAATTTCATTAAAGGTAGTCGGATAACAACTGAAAAAGAAGAGCATTCTGGTTTAGTTTTTTCAATATATTTTAACTATTTTTATTGTATTTAAAAAAAATATGATTATAAGACTTTGTAAATAACCTACTGAAAGTTAATTTTAATGATTTGTTTTTTTTTTTGGAGGAAATAGCGAATAGCCTTCCGCTTTTATATCGGGGAACTAGGTTATTTACACTCCTGATAATTAAAACAAAACCCCGGCACTGGATATCGACTTTTTGAGGGTGTTTATCTGTTGTTGGGAATTCGGGAATTTAATACCTTTTGTGACACTGAGTGAGAAGAAACAATAAGAATATATATTTGAAATGTGGGACTTAGTAAATACACTTTGAATGAATTGACTCACCTGGTTTGTTATTCTTTAATCGTGAGGCATATAGGACAACTAAATAAATAAATGACTTTTCACTCCTGTATAACAAAATGATTTATTTCTACAACTGTAATAAATTGACTCTATTAAAGTGTTATAACTATAGACTTGATCTTCTAAATCTTGTAGTAGACTCAGACTCTCTTCCCAGGTATGTGTTCCGCATCAATGTCCAGCCTCAAGTCCGTCCTCTATTCTGACAACCTCCTTTCTACCTATCCCGGCCTAGAATGCCTTCTCTTCTCTCCAGCTTTTGCTACCTGCTGAGTCCTTTCGGTGCCTCCAACCTTCTTCCTTCTTTATCGATTATTTATCGATATGAGACTTTTCAATGAATAATTTGTCCACTGCACAATTGAGTACAATTCACTGTGCAACCTCACATTCCTATATATTATATATTCCTTCTCTATATTTCCTCTCACAATGTCATATAAAGAAGTAAATAAATAATATAAATAATATAAATTGCTATACTAAATAACTAGATTACTAAACTAGATAATATTGGTTTGATAAGTTTTTAATTTAATTTTAAAGGTTTTTCCTAATTATCTGTTTTAGGAAAAAGTTTTTACTCTCTGAATGTTCGCAAAGATAACTAGAGGCATATAAATTCTTTCAAAATTCTAATGTATTAAATAAGCTCCATATTTGGTAGTTGATATTATTAGTTTATATGGTATTATATCTGTATGTATACTTTTCATTTCAGGCATTAAATATCAAAGAGAAAGATTGGACCGTAGACCTATTGCAATATGGTATAATGCTTTATGGACAGAGTGTTCGAAATACTGCTAATAAAAAATGCAATCAGCCAAATGGAAGCCAAGGCTGGTGTTCAGAACTAAACTCCATGTCACAAAAAGAATGGCACCGTATTCTTAGAGACTCATCAACATTGAATAATCCTAATGTTGGGTCAAGTACTAAAACAATAAGGTTCAATATGGATATTAGTGGTAAATTTGTGATTCATTTGCTGAAACATGGTTCCATTCAATCGGTAAGAATAAATACTATTTCCTTCCTGCCTTTTACCATTGTGTTCATATCTCATCCATTTAAAATTAAACTATGAGCTAGTAACTAAAATAATTACCTATTTATTACTAGTCTACGTATTAATTGTCTAAAAAAGAAGGTTCGTATTTTAAAGAATAATAAATACAAGCTAGTATGATATATGCATACAAAAATGGTTCAAAGTTTTCTCATAAAAAAAAAAATTATTGATAATCAATTATTGATATTCAATGCTAAGTTATAATTTACATTTTATATGAATTTTATTGTGGATACTGAGTAATTTACTTCTTTCCTATTGCTTTTCATATTGAAAAATATTTATCTATATTTTTTGGAGTGAGAGGAAATCATCGACCAAGCCCGAGTATAATGCAAAGTAATACTGCGGAACCTTAGGCAGATTTACATACTAAGCCTACTAGATCCAGATATTTGGGCACATGCTTAAAAAAAAGTTTAAACTACAATGAAAATATGTATAATGTGTTGAGGAAAGTCTTCATTTAATCTTGTTTTATACAGTTCATAGACTATTTTCTCGAAGTAAATTGCCCCTATGGTATGAAGTGGGAGTGACAAAAATACTGGGATCTAGGAAGGTCCAAACTTTTAATCATATCTTGCATCCTCTCATTGTATATTTGATTCTTTTTATTTTTTCAATTATATTAAAATATGAATCAGCTATAATTTAATAATAATTACATCAGTAAAATGTTCATAATAACACTAGCAGAGTTTGCATTATATTTTACTTACAAAATTATTTCGCAATACTCTTTTCTCTTTTCTGCGAAAATTTAAGTAATCGGGTCAAAATTTAAATTTCCTTACTGAACTAGATTAAAAAGCCAACACTTCATTTTCTCTTTAAACTATAAACAACATACACCTTTATATTATGATAAAAATATGCGATGTTATTTATTATAGATGGATATGATCTCTCTATATTTTTTAATGTTTTTTTTTAATTTTACACTTTGGTATCAATACTTACTGCATATCCTGAAAGTCTAGGCCACAGGAATTTCGCCCCTTCCTTGCCAGTGGGCCTGGATGCAGAAATGCTCCATTTGTTGAGTCTTCTTATGCTATGTTTTAAGCCAGTTAGTGCTTTTACTTTCCACGTTATTTAGTGAATTTGTCACAGGAAAATTTCAGAATCTAATTGAGCTTTAGCTATGTTCTATTGCTTGTTATAGTGCAATCATTGTTAAAAATATTAATAGTAAAATTAAATGTAAACAGGTAAGCATCTCTAAGACTTTCAGCAGAATCTACAGTTTAAATTTAATTTATGAAATGTAACTTCTTGTACTCTAATATAAAATAATCCAAATAAATTTGATTTATTAATCTATACAAATTTATTATGATTCCGTAAATAATAATCATGTTTACCTAGGTAGGGAAAATTGAAGGATCAAAGATTGAGATGGTCCATAACTACAAGTTTCCGACTCTTAACCGGAAGAAGTATGTCAATTGCCTTGATACGATTCTGACTACATCTGCTACCACTACACTTCCAACTACTACCAAATTTAATTTTGAAACATCATCAGTTCCTTTAGATGGCTTCTTTAATATTGATTTACGTGATTATGAAATGATCGGTATTCTATCTGGTATTATCTTTGGTATAATCTTTTTACTAAGTGTTTTTGTTTATGTTATCTACGCTACTGTAAGAGTGAAATCAGCACGTAGTGACAATTCTTCAATAGGTTCAGGAAACACCAGAATAAGTGATTAACAGATGATATATGAGATAAACATGTATAAAAACCATAACTCACCATGTTTCTTATTAATAACTAAATATTAGAATAAGAATGTATAAATAAATTTAATGCATGGATTGATGTTTATTAATATAAATATTGAAGCAAGCTTTGCTTGTTTTTTTTTTTTTTTAAATTGTATAGCTACAGAAACTTATTAATAAGGAACATCAATTATCAAATCTCAGTTTAGGATTTGTAGTTTTCTCAAAAATCTGGGTTCTTCATATATTTTATGTATTATAGTACTTATATACTTGAAAAGTGTTAAGTTTTAAAATAAACAGTCAATTATTATTTAAGAATGCTAAATCAATCCTATAAACCTAATCTTATTGCTCAGTGGTTTTTGTAGTGACTGAATCTATAGATCATAATTTTAAAACGACATGAAATTGAAATTCAGCAACATCATAAATTTCTGTGCAATAGGTTTTATGCAAGTGGGTGCATTTGGAATAATTGAATCGGTGAGTGCAGAAACCACTAGTCACAAAATTCAAATTTTTCAGGAGAGAGAAAAACGTCGTAACTTCCAAATTTTCAAATATTTGAAGTTTTTTTTTCCTCTGTCATAACATGCATTTATGTTGCTATCATGCAAAAATTACCTAATTTCGACATAAATTAGGCTCAGGAAATTTAAAATTTGATTCAGACTTATACTCTTTCTGCACTCAGCTGTTTTTTACAGACAGCTGAAAACTTGGAAAAAGGTAACCATTCATTAAAAGTTTATATTTTTTAATTAACAATTTATTTTAAAATAATATATATTAATTTTCATTTATTTTACAATTTAATTTATTTATATTAATTTTAATTTAATTTATTTTACAACAATTTTAAAAATTTATATTTTTCATATCAAAAACGAAGTTACAATATAGCAAAGTCATCATAAAACAGGAATATAACAAAGTGAACCGCTCTTAAAGATCATTCTCGATAATTGTATCATTGTTGCGTGCTGTGGTTGGCCAGGTGAATAGTTCATCATAAAGAACTTTGAAGTTTTCATTTATATTTATATTCATAAGTACCATAAATATAAATAGTATTCGTATTTATATTTTTTAATATAAATATGGCCACCTCTGCTGGTCATGCGATCCATCGGTGGGTGCAGAAACCACGTCAGTCACTGACTCAAGTTATTTCTGTGCTCAACATTCGAAAAATATGTCATATATTTACGTAACTACTCAACAGACTAACATGGTTCTTGCACTCAACACATATCTTGCCTTTCTATGCTTTTTTTCATTGAAAACGATTTTTCGCATTTTTTTTACTAAGGTGGTTTCTGCACTCACTAATTCAATTGCTGCTTTCATGAATTCCTCCTTCCATTATTCAATTCAAATTTACAAAACCTGATTCCAATTTTTTTTATTGGATACTCTACTTCCTAAAAACTAATTTTGACCTGGATAAAATTTGAAAGAACTATTTTTTTAATTATAAGATTCTTTTCTCCAACCATTTTCAATGAAACCATACCTATACCTATACCTGAAACCATTCATTTGTGAGCTAAATTGTGATTCTAGATTGAAGATAATTTTGAAAAATAAAATGTTTAAATTTGTCAAATGCCATGTAAATTTTAATATTAGGTCAATTACTCGCTCTTTTTGTTTCTGTATAAATAGGTTAACTCTCATAAACAGTCAATTTTGGATTCATATAAAATTATACTGACTCTAATTTAATCTTACCTACTTATCTTCTTACTACCAGCTGCTATAGCTTACAAGAGCCAGGGCTTCCTCCATAATTCTACTCTGCTCTACCTTATCTTCTCCATCCTCTGATTCCATATAGGTCAACTATCAATATAAATCACTTCACATAAACTGTCAATCTTGGGCTCATATCTAATGATACTAATTCTAATTTGATTTTAGTTGTATTATAATTTTTACTAATAAAGATTATATTAGTTTTTTTTATTACATATGAATTAAATAAATATGTAATAATAATTATAGTATAATTGGAAAATTTATAAAACAAAGGTTTGAATCTCTAAACAAACTAACCCGTCAACATTTCTACAGTTTTGGTATCATCAGAACCGAAACAACCTAAATCAGACAATTGTCATATTTTTGTTCATTATAATTATTCTTAAGAGACTAAATGTCCCAGAATAAAATTTACTTTTCTTCTTCCTCTTAAATGATGTATCTACAGTCCCAATACAATATATCCCTCATCAGCAGTCCAAAACGTTAATGGATTAGTTTGTTTACCTACATTTTAGGTACTCAAGGAATGGTGCATGGAATTTTGCAATTAAATCTTAAAACTTACTATGTTTCTTTTTCATTTTTTGTTCCATTATATTAATAATAATTTTATTTTTAAGATAGTGTCCAAAGTTATTAACTTGTATGTATAGAATTTATGATATTATTTTTAACAATTGAAATCAACTTTAGGAACTTCCTTGTTTTGTTTTTTTTCATTATGTTTAAAACTAAGTATTCTAAATTAATAAATAATAGATTTATACAGTTCAATTGACCAACCTGTGATCATCTAAAATATTTTGAATATTTTATTGTGAAGTAATATCTAGAGAATTTAGGAGAGAAACACTTTATTTTCATATAAAATAAAAAAGCTTGCTGCCGAATTATATTGGGTTGTTATACACACAGCATACTAGCTAATCCGTAGGACAATAAATAAACTCATATATAAAATATACAGAAATGGTTAGAATATGTGGTTAGAATGACAGATGGTGGGGGAAGCAAGTTCCATATGTTAGGGGAGAAGGTAGCCAGCGGGCTAGTAAAGAGGAAGGAGAGAAGAAAATGAGTTAACAAATAGTGAGTGTCTACAACTAGACGAAGACAAGAAAAATATTAGAACAAGAGAAAGTTGTAGAAGTTGGATACAATCCTGAGGAAGACTCACTGCAGAACAGGGTGAACAAAATATAAATAGACAGTTCGAAAGCGCGCCAAGAATAGATCCCGACAAATTTAATGGAAATTCATGAAAGTGTTATATAATTAATGTATGATTTTATATTGTATAATTGATGATGTGTGTTAGTTGTCTAAACCCAACCAGGGAATTAATTATCATGTAAAATAAATATTATTTGATTAAGAAATGGTTTGTTTACTTTTCGAAGGGAACGTAATCTTACAATATATATATATATATATATATATATATATATATATATATATATATATATATATATTTATATGTGTGTATATGTATATATATTTTTTTTTTCCTTTCATTGTTCATGCTTTTTTTTTACATTTAATTCTCCTTTCTCTCACTTCTCTCTCTTTATACACCGCTCCTATATACAATATTAAGATGCTTAAAATTATAATAGAACAATAACAAAAAAACAAAAGTGTATTCATCTAGAATTAAATAAAATTTAATATAAAACAAATATAATAGACATTTTTAATTAAATAAATAAATAAATTAAAACTCTCACTCTACCCATGAACATGGTGGTGAATGATTCCCAGGGAGCCGAGGACTATATTTTCAGCCAACCTCGCTACATTCTTAATGTCGACACCTAGTTCCTCGAGGAAGCTCCTTGTTCTTTTTGGAATTGTTCCTTGAGACCCAAACCAGAGGCCTGACACAGTGAAATCCTTCTCTCCGAAGGTCTCACAGAATTTCTCTTTTAGGAAAGGGATACATTTATCATATGTGTTCTTCTTTTCCCTTTCCACTTCATCTGGCTGAACGAGGTCATTGCTCTCAAAGCGGGCAGTTGGATCCATGATCAGCGCTTTCCTTCCTGTCTTCGGAAATGCGACAATATCCGCGTATCTCGTAGATTCTCAATATACCTCGTCAAAGCAAGTGAATTTCCTTTCCCTAAGGAGCCTCATCAACTCGAACTTGACCCTATGGTGACGACGTGTTATGAGGTGGGATTTGTCGGGACATTTTCCCGGCACATAGGCTGGTGTTTCAGACTCTCTGTCGTATTTACGGCAGAGGGACCCAACTTCTCTGACCTGTCCGCTGACACCTGGCACTCCACGCAGAGTTGCATAATTAATGTTTAGTTTTAGGGCATTCGACCTTTCAGACCCAGAAAGTACTTGCTTTTTGTAGATGTATCTATTCGCTTTTGGGGTCTCTTTAAAATGGCGAACACCAATACTCTGCCACTTGCAGTTGGCCCATTCCTCTAATGATGTTTCTCGTAGCAACTGCTGTAAAGCTCTCACATTTCAATGACCCTGATCAACCCCCAATCTCTCGGCACATTCAGCTACTTCTGCCGAATAATCGAATATAATATTCACATTATAGATTAGAAACATATTGTTAAACATATTTTTTGTGAGTTTTAGCTTACCCCACTTACACCCCCCTAAAAGTGAAATAAATTTTACAAAATCTACTGCTGGTCAAGTACAAAGTCACCATTATTCTGTGTTTGAATCATCAACTATCAACCACAATTTAAAGAATAATTTCTTATTAAAAAGGATTTAGGTAAAACAAAAATACCATTGCATTGTTTAGTTTTATTTAGGGTTTTAATTAATATCCCAGTGCATATGAATTTATATTGTTTCTATGGGAGATTTTGTCAATAAATAAACAACTGTATTTTATAGACATTTTCAGAATTTATTGTTCTCATATTTATGTCCTACAGTGAAAAAAAAGATATATAGAAAATGTTTCAAAAAATTATTATTACAAACTAAAATTATAAACGATGTAGAGATGGTTGACTGTGATATAATATGAAAAGGAGATGGTCTGGGGGTGCGGGCAAATAAATACTAAATTTTATAAAGTTGCATTTTTAATTGTTATACCGACATTTTGACCCACCTTGCAGGTCTTCATCAGGGCTAAAAACGATACAAAATATAAAAGTTACATGGTTAAAATAAAATAAATGAATTATAAGTAGATATTAAATAAGAAACAGTTGTCTGATAAAGAAATA